ATCCACGCGGATCCCACTATACCGCATGTCTTTAGGCGCTGCTACGGCCGAGAAGCCTGACCCGCTCAAGGTTGGCCCAGAATTCGGGACGCTTGCCGGTCCGCCACCAAGGCGAGATCTGATTGGTCAACAATCTGGACCCAACAGCCAATCATGACCCAGTATTGGCCAAATGCCGGTTGCCAATGGCGCATCCAGAACGCGTCAGAAATTCCAGAAAGTTATAACCGCTTACGCTATATATAAGAAGCGCGGTACAACTGTTCTTGATTTCGTTTTGGGCGTTAATAGACCTTGTGCACCTTTGGTGGTTATTTTGACGTGAACGCTAGCTTGTGAGGCTCAGACCGAGAACTAAGCTGAGGAAAATACCGTTACTACATGAAGAAAGAGAGATTCCACCTCCTGGGTCTTCGAACTTCACCAGTGTTTTCCGTCATTCTTCAAGCTCCTGATTATCCGGTATTTGGCCTGCCTGAAGAGAGATTCCACCTCCTGGGTCTTCGAACTTCACCAGTGTTTTCCGTCATTCTTCAAACTCCTGATTATCCGGTGAAGGGCCTGTCTTCAAGCTCCTGATTATCCGGTATTTGAAGGGCCTGCCTGCGCAATCATAGTCGTTAGTTTCTGGTATAGCCTTTCTAACAGCAATAAGGTCTGCTGATCTCGACGAAACGCATGGCTGGAACAAACAGTTATGAGAGCTGAGAACATAGCTTCTTTCACCCGTTCCCACTCAACCTCCAAGCAATCTTCGTCATTCCCATGACCAGGTGTTTCCAGTAGCTTTCTAGCCTGGTCAGCCCGATGCGCTCGAGGTACTGAAACTTATCAAAGCCGATGAATGGAACTGCTCCGCTTTGGCACGCGCAATGCTGATGGCAAGAAGAGTGATAACAGGGCTCGCACAGTGGCTTGATCAGAGTCAAGTTGCGTACCCCAGAAGGCAATACAACCCCCAACTGAGGTTCTCCATCGGTAACTGATAACCGCATGGTCCAATTATGTCTACGACTGTCTTGTGGTAGGGGCCTCCATGTAACTGGGTGTGAAATTTTGTGTTGAAAGTTTGTACTGGCTAGAAACAGACGATGGTCTGAACACAGCTGAAGAAGCCGCTGCCCATTATCCCTACGCTCAGCGTCGACTCCAAATCTGCCACCCAGCTGCTTCTTCCGGACTTAGTTGTCCAACATGGGTATGCATGTCACTCGCCAAGATTACTGTATCCGTCCCTCTTGCCAACTGAAGCAGTCGTGACAGATCTTGATAAAACTCGTCCTCAGTCTCAGAACTGCAGTGTGTTGGGCTGTATGCTGAAGCGACGAATAAACACCGTTTACCGTATCGAGCCGGGTTATTCTTAATTGAGCCAGACAACCGCACAGCGCACAGGTAAGTGTTCACCGGGATTCAGTCCAGTAAGGCGTTTTCAGCCTTGGTACTGAGTACAACACTCACACCGTAGATACCACGAGCCATTGCGTTAGGATCACCAGGTACATACATACCTGAGATCGTCCTAAGCAGCTTGAGGAGTATGACCGAAGTGAGGTCTTTTATGCGTGTTTTGGAGACACAACATATATCTATAGAGAAGAAAAGCAAGGTTTCAACCAGAAATAGCTATTGTACAATTCGACATAACGTCAGGACATTAAAGACCGCAATGTGAATCAGATCTTTTGAGGCTAGTAAGTAATTACTTTGGTTTATTCTGGGCAAAGGTCTAGATACGGAGTAGTGGCTAGGGGACTAATAGATGGGTTGGTTGCACTACATGGTACGTCGGGTGAGGAGGCAGTGTAGGAGAAGGCCGGTGAGCGAAGAGGTGCAAGGACAAATAATATTTCCAGGTTGCTCAGGCCGAAGAATGGGGTTTAGTTGAATTACCCCACCTTGAGCCTTTGACTCAAAAGTCTGACCCATGAGGCAGTGGGAGGGTGCGGGGTTTTATTCAGGGACCCTGCCTGGAGCCAATGACTAAAGAGTCTGACCCACTTGGCTTCAGGGTCAGGCTGGCCTGGTCAGAGGGCGCGGGGGGTAAGGTATCACTATCTCATTCCTAGGACAGCTGCACATAGCAGGTACCTTTTGAGCGGTACTAGACCCTTTCTTTTAATGAGTATTTCAACCGTATTGAATAATGCGCCGGCGATCGCCGTTGGGTGATCAGAGTGTACAGATTTTAAGGCCAACTTTTTCCAACCTGTCATTCCTCGGGGGAAGGCAGCACAGCTGCTTCCATGAATATGGACATGCTGGTCACCTGGGGGGAACGCCTTACTGTCTTCACACTCCAATCGCAGAGGACAGTGCGACTTTACATCCAGAACGCCTCGCAACGCGATTACTCGCGGTACGGGGGCTCGCTGTTCTTCATCGGGCTGCTCCCCGTTGGCTTTGCTAGTATGCTTGGAACTTCAGGAACTGAGTTCCAGTCAATATAGCCAGAGAGATGGCCCAAGTGATTAGAGCGCGAACTTACTGACCGGAAAGTCCGTGTTTCGAATCCGACTTCTGCTTCTCGACTTCCCTGTATGGGTTCTGGCAACCTGGCAGTATCCCAACCCTCGTACAACCTTCGGGTGGTAGACAGTTAGGCACTGGAAGGGTGCTACAGCAGAACGATTTTTTTCAGTATAGCCCGCGGGATCATTGCATCAAAGAAGTCCGACCACCACAACAAGGTGACAGCTTTAGGTCGGGACCAAACTTGGAAGCGTATCAGGGTTTACGAACAGTTCTCCTGTTTTTCACCGTACCAGTCAGAATGCGACGAGGCTTCTCCGTTTCTCTATTTCTGTTCTAAGTCGATGATACTCTGCACAATCTGTTGGTAGAGCAGCTTGATGAATGTAGAAATTCGTCCTAGCGGGAAAGCCCTTGTGCATGTCACTTAACCTATCACTACTACCCAGGAGACGCCGAATTTCCTGAATAACTTGACAGTTGATGCCTTACGAAAGTGCGCTGCACGACGTGAAATGGGAGGTCCCAACAGGGGCAGAAATGATGCGAAGTTTGAATGTGCGAAGGCACCAGGCTCGAATAGGTCATGCCCCTCAAGGCAAGCGATGAATCACTTATGACCACACGTGAAGTTTGTTGTGGACTGTTTTGAACTCCTTGTTTCTATCCAATTGTTGAGCGATGGTTAGGTAACCCCCTGCCTAGACCAACGGGGCATCGGCTTTGCAATCTTAGCGTTCGCCAGTATTATGGTGCACAGATTGGTCACTTACCTTTGGGACCAGCCTAAGATTCGCTTTGAGTGAGGATGCATCGACCACGTTTTTACCTTGCAGCAGATGTCCGAACACCGGCACAGCCACCGACAGCCAATAGTAGCTGTTTTCTACTAATGGCTACCTCGAATTCTGGTGGTTGTCAAATACTGTGGCAGTTTGTCGACCAAGGGTGCCCTATCTGAATTCTGGTGCCTTCTAAGGACACTGTAAGCTAAATTGTACGGGTTTACGACAAGCTGTCACCCGAGCTCATGACTTTCGTTAGTTTTAGGCTGAGCTGCCGACTATTATCCACGTTTTCCAACTTCCGTTACTGATGTTTCATGGGAATCTTCGCTGCCTGCCCGCAAATTGAAGTGTATAAGGCGCTCTACGACTTCTGCCTTACACGTCAAATGATCTGGTGGCGTTTTTCTTCCGTGGCTAGATCCACCGGCAATACGTATCATTGCGGTTTGCGTGATTAATTTGGTTGCAGGTTAGCCGGGATCAAGCCCAAACATCATGTTTGCTAATTAGCCGACCTATGTGGTAGATACATCTACCCAACTCTTGATTGCGTATATGTAATATATGTATACATATGCAGTTTTTAAGAGAAATGGAGTTTTCTCTCTACTACACTTTATTTGCCTAATCGTTTTCAGCGCACGTTTTGGCACCAACTACCATAGAATGGCCATATCGGGGGAAGAAAGTCCGGTAACGCGAAACCCCCCCTCCGGAATCCATGCCAGAAAGAAACGCTGCGGACATCCATTAGGAAGCATGCACAAACAACACCATTCCCATGCTCCTCGCATTTCGAGGGCAGATGTCACTCCTGAATTGGAACAGTCATCGATATGTGAGTCGCCGTAAGTCAAGCTGATTTTTAGTTGTTTGTTCTAGAGCAGATTTGAGGTGATATATTTCCCTACTTTGATGAGTAACCCTAATATGTCGCACTTCGAGGGCACACTAGTTAGCAGTTCTTGAATTCTCGCCAGTTTTAGCGATGTCATTTGTTTTCGCAAACGAAACCCTCAGCCTAGTTAGTGAGGTAACTCAGTGCGATCTTACTGACCGAACTATCCGTAGTTTGGACCCGATCCAGGCATCTCGACTGCTTCTGTGTAGGCTTGGGCAACCTAGCAGAATCCCAACCTTCGTGCTTACATCCGATGCCATGGCAGCTAGGCGCTAAAACGTCGATAAATTATATGACGGATGTATGATTGATACTCACCTTTCAACCAAGTTTTCCTACGCTAGTCCAAACCGGCCCGGTGATGATGTGTTTTCCTTATGACAGCTCCCTCTTGATACTCCCTGAGAGAAACCATCCTTTTGAGGGGAAAGTTTTTGGCCAATCACCATGCCGAAAGTCAGATCCCCATTAAGAAATGCTGATGGCTACACAGCAATATATTAAACGAAACTGCCTATCGTTTTGACCACCAGAAATGACTTTGATCCCGAGACAGATTATTAAGGTTACGGATAACCGGAACCATATAGACGGGAACTTTGTCATCCACAGCTCCGAAGTCACTCCAGCGTAACATGGCATGTCAAATTACTAATCCGCATAATTCTTCTCAACTGTCAGAACTACTTACTTGATGTCGATGAGACTCTTACCAATCCTAACACATTAATGATTGTGCGCGGTCTGGGATACTGTCAGAGCGATCACACTTACACAGGAGAACGATTAGGGTCGCCAATCAAAGGCTTTGGCTCAAAATCCTGACCGCTAGGCAGCGGGTGGGCGCTGGCATACTACTGCAGTAGTACAGGGTTTTTAGGAACAAGTCGCCGTGTCTGCTCCAACTCACAACCTGGAGGACCAGGAGACTGTTCGTCCGACCTGTATCCACTGCCCAGCCGGATATAGAAACTCTGCCTGTATCCCAGTGAAACGTCCTCAGTGAATTACACGCCGCTGCACGGCGACAAAGTCTCTTTGAAGTGGATCGACTTTCTTTCTAGTATCTTTGACTCACATTATATTAGTAGTCATATCGACGATGATTCACAGTATATGAGTCGCCTTGTAGAGCCGTACTTCCCTGTGTATGGAGAATTATAGAGTAACGGAAATGTGTCCGTGGTCCGATATTCACCTTCAAAGGTCAAATTTACCAACAGTTTTAACTTTTCCAAGGGTTCCTCTGATTCTTTCGTTGTAGCCATTGTTCACGGCACAACTAGGGCTTCAGGTGCTGACCAATTTTGAGCCTCTTAAGAGTTTCAAAATTTGTCAGCACCTGAAGTGGGGGCGAGATGACCCAAGTGGTTAGAGCGCGAATTTACTGACCGGAAGGTCCGTGGTTCGAATCCGACCTCCGCCACTCGACTTCCCCTGTCTAGGCTTGGGCGACCCAGTATCCCAGCCCTCGTGCTTCCTTCGGGTAGCATGGCAGCTAGGCACTGGAAGGGTGCTACAGCTGAACGCTCTTAAGAGTTTGGCGAAGAGATGTTGAAGTTACGTTCATTACGATGTAGTTGTCCAGCCCCCTACCTAAATCTACCACCATGATATGGTGGTCTGGCTAGAGTGCTTCAATGCTTCCGCAGTCTACACTGGCTGGAACTTTGTTCGACAAGGTGCAACCATGCCAGGAAGGCCAAAGGGGGGATTCAGACCAAGAGGAGGGAGACCCGTATTAAAAATTTTCGTGCTTCGAGGTGGTATGGAGGTAACGCCGTACTGTCCTCTGTGATAGGATTGTTAAAGCCAGTATAAACAATGCCAGAATAAACGTTGGCATCACGTTACCTGGAGGCCACCAACTACAAACCAGCCGTGGACTCAGTTGGTCCACGTGACCATCAGCCACCGATGGAGAGCCACAACTCAAGACTGCCGTTCCTTCTGGGGCACACCACTTAATTCCAATCGCGCCATGGTGCGTGTATGCCTGACAGTTCGTTCCCCTCTAGGCCCTCGCAAGTAAGCAAGAAGCACACCAATCTGCCATATTCGAAGGACTACCATACCTCATCAGTATCGATCTGAGCTAGGACAACAACTTTTCACAGCCAACCAATGGTGTGCTGTTAGCATGTTGATGAAGCATGGCAAAATGTGAAAGGAGCTATGCTACTTCATTACCGTCTTTCCAACTTCTCCGATTCGACCACAAGACCACTGGATGTCGTCGAGAACGCTATCCATGATTGATGCCAGGAAATTCATACCAGCAGGCAATGAGTACGACGGCGCACGCAAATCCCTCAAATACCAAACAGTAAAGGACGTAAGGAAAGACTGATAGCTCTAGTAAACATGGAAAACTCGGGACATGGAGAAGGCTTTCGTTGCCGGAAACGGCCGTGCCCTGTATCAATTGATACGACCAACTTACGGCAGTGAAGTATCAGTGCCAACACTGATGTTGCTGTCTTTGATGACGATGACGATGATGACCACCTTGCCCTAGGAAAGCAACTGTCACCAAAACGATAAGTGAAAAGGTGGAAAGGTGGGTCGAACACTTCCAATAAAAGATTAGCTGGCCTCCTGCAACAGCCTGTGGAGATAGTGGTCGAATGGAATGTAAACCTTTATCGCCTGCCGGAAGAAATAAAGTACGAAATATCTGTACTGAAACGTGAAAAAGCACTAGGACCGGACGGTCTGTATCCAACCCTCTTCAAAGAAGGCACAGAATCCCTGGTGACCCATCTAAAAAAGCTCATTGATACGATATGGAACGAAGAGAAAGTGCTCATGGAATGGGGAATGTCGACATTCATTCCTATCTTCAAAAAGGATACGCGGACTTTGTGTGAAACCACCGTGGTATCGAAGGTGCTCTCTGATTTTATCCTTCGAAGGTTGGCTGAACACAGGGAGAGACAGATCTGTGAAAACGAAGCTGGGCTCCGTTCTGCAGGAGGATGCACCGATCACATCTTCACCCTCCGACAAGTTCTGGAACAGACACACTGCTTCCGGCAACCAACAATGATTGTCTTCCTTGACTTGAAAGCTGCCTTTGACTCTGTGGATCGTCAAGCACTATGGTAGTATCTGTGGAGCAGGAGCTCCCCCGTAAATTGGTGCTGCACGCCAGTCCTCGTAGAAGTGTGAAGGTTTAGGCGAAGCTCTAGCCTGAAGTCATCACATCAAGTAGTATCAGACGGGGCTGTCCTTTTTCACCATTCATCTTCAACTTCGGCATCGATGCGATCATGGAAGACACTATCAGCCACTAATGCCTGGAGGCTCAAAGTGCTCCTAGAGCGTTCTCTCACAGATATAGGGTATGCAGATGACATAGCTCTTCTTGAATCTGACGCTGTGGTAATGCAAACCATATTAAGTAATCTAAATAATTCTGCCCTACGAAACCACTGTGCTTGCGTTCTGAATTCTCGTTTCTGAGACACAGCACACATCGATGCCAAAGGAGTCCAGTGTGAGTGTAAGAGCAGCTCGTTGTCCTGCTTGCTTCAGATTGCGGACATTGAGGGTGACCAGATAGACTGGGTGTCAAAGCTTGAAAATTGATTTGGAGATACCTGAGAATGTCGGTGCCATGTGACGAGCAGATGTTGCGCGCAAAACTGATGCATGACGAACGGAGTTATTAGTCCTCAGTGCTGGGTTTATAAGAGGACAGTTACTAACAGGGTGGGGAGAGGAAGAGGAAAAAAAGGATGTGAAAGAGAAAGAAGGGAGGCGTCAGCAGTTGCCCGTTTTCGCTTACCCGCCTTGCTGTATGCAGGAAGTAAGGCGACTCGGCTGATGGCACTACGCGACGGCCGATGTGGTATGAGAGCATCGTTAGTTTCAAGCGTCATGGTAGGACATGGGCTGGGATACTGTTAGGGCGCCCACATCTAGACAGGAGGACGATTAGGGTCCTCAGCCAAAGCCGTTGGCCCAAAAGCCTAGACGCAAGGTAGCGGTGTTTGGCAGGGAATGCGAATGCACTACCATTTTCTCGGAACCAGGCGCCACATGTTCCAACTCCCAATCTGGAGGGCCAGGAGACTGTGTTTGTCAGACTAGCCATTGACCAACCTGGTATGAGACACTCTGAGGGTCGCGAGGATACCCACAATAGCCCAATGGGTCGCTGGGGTGCGCAAACCGTCACACCACGGTAATGTCCAGTCTCTTCATGATGGTGTCAGCCCGCACTCGACCTAAATAAAAAGAAGGGCGATCAATCGACGAGATGGCTTGAAGACGCTGTATAATTAGAGTTGTGGTTAGTGTTGTTTTTTTTCTAGTGTCTTAGTGAGGTGGAAAGTAGTTAACAATATTTACCTGAATTCGCGTAATGTTGAAAGCACAAAATCCGTTCTGTCTGATAGTAAACGAAGTTCACATGGTTGTCATATTACTGGTTTAGATTATCAGAACACGTCTGCTTATACTGAGTCGGGCATCCACTTGACAGCTCTTGGTGCTCTTGTAGGAAAGTCTCCTTTCTATCTTACATTGATAAGTTCATTGGGCAGTATGGCTGTCTCACGTCAATCTCTGGAGGATTTCCGACGTATATCTTAGAATTTGAGAATGTTCGAAGATCCAAATCCTTTCTTCAAGACCGGTGAAAAAGATGACGACCACAAAATGGAAATATGTTATCAATAGTTTGTGAAAATGTCTGTTACTGAATCACAGACACTTCTCCGTATCGGACTAAGTTTTATGGCTGTTCTGAGTTCGCTAGTGTCGCTTTGGCTCGTAAAGAACTTGTGTTCTCCTAATCCCCACCGTTTGTGGGGTATTTACTTCACAACGGTTTTTCTGATGTTTAGCACTCCATGACAGTGGACGTAACAGTTTTAGTAATAGTTATTAGTAGTAGTAGTGGTTCGGCACATTTTCGATACATGACTGCCGTGCAACCCGAAGGAAGCATGGGGACTGAGATCCACCAAATTGCCAAACATCGGGTGGAAGAAATCGAGAAATTAGTACTGGGTTTGGAAGATAACCTCACAGTTTAACAACCCAGCTCCCGTGACAGGCTCACTTAACCACTCTGCTTTCTCGATAGGTTTTTCAATTTTTAAAGATGAACTTTTCCACACTCGACAAATGTAGCTGTCTTCAGTAGTACAATCGCTTCGTAAGCGCCGTGTTGGATACTAACGGGTCACATGGTGGACGAAGTTAATTTAGCGAGTCGGATCGGTTGAACAGAACTGTTGACATCCAGTTCTAATAGTTCTTAATGATGTCGCAACGTTGCTGTATTAATCCACGTGACATTCCAACCTGTAACGGACTGTCGATCTGGTTCTTTGGCCTACCTTCGGGCTCCTGTCTAACGTTCTCACCCTAGGGCTTAGGCCTCGCTCCAAATTCATTTTTCCCCCAGAAAGTGATGGCTCTCGATCCGAGGAGGCCTGGCTCAAATTCATCCCTGACTTATTGATCGCTGCGGTCCTAGTCGCGATGATTGGGGAACTGAGAAAATTTTTTATTATCCTTCTACAGATTTAATTATCCTCTATATAGTCGGTCTAGAAATTCAAGCCTGCGACCAGGCCTTATACATGTTTCTAGTCGAACGTTTGGTATGTTTTTGCAAATTTATTCGTGTACTTGTTACCCTATTTGACAGGTTTCATTGGGCGCTATTCAAAACTATTGGTAAAATGATCGTAATCTTCCCATATAGGGTTTTAAACTTTGGCTGCAATGAATCCCGACTGTCTGTTACGAAATCTGTTCAATACAAGAGTTTTTTCTAGTCTGACACAAGGCTTTGAATTTAAATTACTTACAAAACTTAGTCTGTGACCAGACAGTTATTGAACTTTAGTTTTCAACACTTCGCATCATATATACACCACATTTTCTCGTTTACGTTATTCTCTTCTAGCCCAAAAGCTTCGGCAAAACGGTCCAAAAACAAAAGGAGCGATACAAACCACAAGGTCGACAAGGCTCATGCTAAGAGGGCTAAGCAAGATGCATCGTTCGATGACCTCTTAGATGTATCTAGCAGATCCGGTACCAGTGAAGGAGAAGAAGAAGACATTCCAAACGTAGTTCGAGATCGGGCGTAAGTCACAATCGCCTGATCTTATAGATGTACAAATGATATTTTCTTCATTGACCCACAACTTCTTACCAGTGTCGAACTGAAGGTAACACATGCGAGGGTACAGTATGTTCACAGCTCTGTACATAAGCAACAAACCTTCGCTGGGCCACGCTGCCAAGAAAAAGAACTATCCAACTTGTTACTGACAGCGAGTAATGCCACGTCCAACAAAGCTATCAGCTGCATGAAAAGAAAATTATGGTGAACACTGGCTGCGAAGGTTCAATGTTCTTTAATGACTTGTGAGTTCTTGCTTAGTCCAAATCGAGACGCCTCTGAAGCAATGATCGGTCACTGAAGTAGTTTCAGAATGACACCAAAGAACCAACATGCGTCTCCACAACAGGAGTTCAGTCGGCATTACACAGCGGCGTTTTTGTCAGGAGAATTTCGGGACTGATTAGACGACCGTCTAATACTCCTTTATTTGTCACACTATCTTCATGACTGCTTTGCGTAAGGTGCGACCATATTTCGTTCTCTGATCCATTTTGAACGCGCCTAATTTCCTCCTGGGCTTCTGTCCCATGGTGGGACGCCTTGACGAGTCTTACAATTTATTGTGTTCTGCCATATCACACTGTAATGCGGCCAACTCATACTTCCGTTTCGCCATGCTCTTGTCTTGGGTCATTCAAGAAGGCGGCGTAAGGTAAGCGGAATACGCT